GCATCGATGAGTTATGATGATGAGAGATGATCAATGTTTAATGATGAAATTGCTTGTTTTGTTGTGATAAGGATTAGATGTTTGTTTAGTTTTCGATTCAACGGAACTTAGAAACGAATTATTGCTAGGAATCACGCTTTGTGAATTGTTTTGGTTGAATGTTTTGTATTTTGAATTTCGAATTAATTTGTGTTAGATCATGATATGTTCGGTTTTAAATCTCACCTGAGGAAATTTATGATGCGAAGTATTGAGTAGTGAGTAATTTGGGATATGATTTGGGCCTTCTTTGAACCGTTTGAGCCTTTCAAGCCGACCTTTTTATCGAAATTATCCTTAGAACCTTGATTTGAGCCTCGGAGAAAAGGTGTTCTTTCTTTTAGCCAATATGTATAAGGTAGAATAGATGGAGATTCTTGAAAAATTACCCCTTGGAGTTCGGTTGGAAAATCTTATAAGGTCCTTCTTCTTCTTCGGAAAAAAAAATATTTATGTGTATATATATATATATATATATATATATATATATATATATATATATATATAAACAAAAACAAACAAAAAAAAAAGAAGAAGAAGAGACTAGAAGGGAGAAGTAAGGACTAGTTGTTGAATTATTTTGAAAGCTCGATCCATTGTCTTAAGAGCAAAAGTGGAGACTTTTGAATTCTTAAGAGTCGAGTTTATTAAAGTCCTTAGAGATGAATTCATTGTTTCAAACGCCTATCTTTCAAATTTCGGCGTAATCACCTCAATTCAAGAAGAATAACCACATATACCCATATTTCCTACCTCGAACCAAAAAGCCTAACAATTGAAAGCCAAAAAGCTCCAATGATCCCAATAGTTTAATATTCGATATTACTAGAGTAGAATAATTTGGTGAGTATTTGGAGTCAAACATATGCATGTAAGCATAATTTTTTTCTATCTTTAGTTTACAAAAATTGAATGATTGAAGCAATTGCATGATTTGTGGTTTTTAGAAATGGCAAGTGACTAAGTGCTTTTGAATTTTGAGCTTGCGAATGCCTAAGAATTTTTATTATAATTACAAGTTCTGAAAACGTGAAGTTGGTCATTAATCTATGTGATGAGATGCGGTAGTTGAGTTAATTGCTTACGATTAGATTTTGCTTGAGGACAAGCAAAAGTTCAAGTTTGGGGGTGTGTTGAGTGTAGATTTTACGCTCAATACGTTTATTTTACGTGTATTTTTTGTTTAGATTTAATTATATTTGTGCTTTAATTAATTGATTTTGTTTTTTATAGGTGAAAAATGAGAATTAGGAGTCCATAAAGGAAAAAAGATCAAAAAGAAAGGAAAAAGTTGCAAATAAGGAAATAAATCAAATTGGAAGAAGGAATCTTGCCACAACTTTGGCACTGTCCACCATTTCGAGCATATCTCTCTCACACGAACTCCAAATTAGCTGATTTTGGTGGCAATGGAAAGCTAATGTCAAGGACTACAATTATTATTCACGCAACATCTAAAATTCGGACTCCAACATGGCAAAAATCGAAGAGAAAATCCTGATGGGGGAAAGTGGCAGAAATTGATTCCTATTAGGTTTCAACTACTTCCTTATCAAGAAAACCTTATAAAAGCAACAAGTCTCTACACCTTAAGCACGAAATTATACACCACAAAACGCAAGGAACGAAGATCAACGAAGACTCAAGCATAGTTTTTTCTTATTTTTATTCATTTGATTTTCTTTATCATAAGAATCACGAGTAGCTAAATCTTTATTTCTAGGATTTTATTTGGAACCCTATGTGGGATTTATGAACCCATTTCTATGATTTTATGCAAGTTTTAATTCCGAGTTATTTCTTCTACATGTTTTATTAAGTGCATGAACTTGATCACCTTATGAGCTTTTGTGTTATTGTTAATCGCATGAATCAGAAGATCGGGTTAATAATTAGAACTGTGGTAGAAGAGCCTTTGTGGTATTAACATATGAATACAATTAATCTCTTAGGTAGCCATTATTGAGATTTATGCTTAGTGTTGTGTTCTATCTAGAATTAATTGCGTAGGAATACAATAATTGAATCTAGAGTATTAGAATCGTAATACACGCGGAAGCGGGTTATGATTAATTTAGCATCTCAGGTTAATAATCCGGGTAAATTACTTGCATAATTGAAGGAATTGGGGGATTAATAATCACATTGGGGGAAAAATAAAATCCTAGGCTTGTTTAGTTTGATTAATCTTCATGTTTAAATTGCTTTCTTGCTTTTTCTTTTTAATTTGCTTTAATTAAGTTTATTTTAATTTAGTTAATTTTCTCTAAAGTCGACTGTGTAGGGTTGGCTTGATAGCAATTGGTAGAATTTAGCGTCTAGGATTATGTAATTAAATATTCTCTGTGGGATCGATACTTGGACTTAACAATCCACTTTATTACTTGTACGATACGTGCACTTGCGTGTAGGTATTACACCCAACAAACTGGTATAGTCATTCTAAGTAACTCCCCCATTCTAAAGATTACCATCACCACTTTTAAAGTATTTGACACTATACCATCGAGGAAGATTGTAGCACTGATCGATCGTCGCACCTTCAAACAAAACTCTAAATTTAATACCACTGATCGATCTGCGTCTCCATGCAATAGATGATGAAGACACAACCTTACATAAATACGAGTTTTAGGTCAAATTTTGGTAGAGAACCATAAGAAATAGATAGACAGAGATAAAAGTGGCTAAGAAACCTAGTTTAGAGCACGGAACTCGTCCATTGTTCCAAGGAGACTTAGGGTTACGAGATGTAGCAAAATATGAAGGATTGAAGCGTGTTCAGAGTGACAACTATTTCACGCAAAGATACTTCAGTTTTTATATTGTGTTTACCCATGTTCTTAATATTTTTTCTAGCAACATCATACTATCTTTAATTATTTTTTATATCACATGACTAGATATTTATCTAGGATTTATCGAATTATATTGTGGATGTTTTGTACTATATGTTGAACCTTGTTCAATGAGTTGAATTCGATTTATTTTATATGCTTGGATTGATTGTATACATACAATTAACCATTCTATGTTAAGTGAATTCCTTTATAATTATTTGACAATTATTTATTAGGGCTTAGACTGAAAATATATGAATCATAGGATTAGTGACTATGAATGCATAGATCTAATGTGTGTGCTATTAAAGAGAGAGTCATATGTACTATGGATAGTCAATCTTTAGATTGGAACCGACACTTAAATTTTTATGCAATATTTTGCTACAAATACTTCAATTGTAGTAGACCTATTAGCTCAGATCGCACGACAGCACACCACTACGGGCAATGAGTGATGTTTCAACTAGTAAATTGAATCAATTAATGCATACATAGAAACAAAGGAAAAATTAGAAGTTTAAGGTGAAGATAAATTCCTAAACTCGTTTTACATAAAAAATAATCTTGTTGATTTACAATTTAGAATAATAAACCAACCAATTAGAATTTACCTGGATAAACTAAATTGTTAGTGATCGAGTACTTAAAGAAGAGATCAATTGCTCCATGTGGCTTCGACAATCCCGATTCGTAAGAATCCACTATTACCACTTGTATGTGGTATATATGTGCACAAGCTTGCGTGTAAGTTTCAGCCAAAATCTTTCGTAGACAATTCTCTTATAACTCTCTCAAAATCTATAATCTTGAAGCCCTCTTGAAGCTCTTGCAATTTTCCAAAAGATATGTTTTAGAATCAATCCTCTGTGATAACTTGAAGTTGCAGTACAGATGCATTACACAAAATATGTGCTCACAAGGCCTCACCATATCCACTACATCAATCAAGCCCTTATGTTTGTTACTCATATATGTGGTTGCGGTGGCCAGAGGGTGGGGGTGGTGGCCTAAGGGTGGCAGTGGTGTTTCGGGAGTGGGGGTGAAACTTTGGTAAAAATAGGGTGAATATGCAATATCCATGTGTAATGTTGGCTAATTCACCCATGTGTAAAAGATGAATATGACTTTTTCCCAAAAGAATCTCCCATTTCTCTTCAATCAACGTGTCCTAATTCCCATCACTACTCAAACTGCCTAACTCCTTAGTAATTTTACCATGTTTCCCATTAAATGTTGTACAATTTTTTTGAAAGGCAATGTACTTAACTTCCACATTGTGTGTGTCTACTTCAAATTGGCGCCAAAGTCATCTACATATTAAATATATATATGTAGCCACTAGTCCTTTTCGATTTAGTTATTTATATATATGTGTAAATACTCTGATCTCTTCTTTCGATTCAATCGGTGCACTTCGTTTTTCTTCAATAGACGTTGTGATGGTAACTTGAAGATTAGAGAAGCCCCCGTGGATTTTCAAGGGCAGGTAACCTTCTTTTTTTTCCCTAATTCGTATTCTTTTTCAATTTCTTGAATTCATGATATGATTAATATTTGAAGCAATTTTTTTTCGATATTGCAGTGTTGTGTACCAGATTCATTCCGTTCGAGTCGACTCTGTTCGACCTTTCATCCCCAAAAAATTCAAAGTGGTCCAGAACTTTGGGTATGTAAACAATAATTAAGCAGCATTGCATTAACCTTTTTAGAGGTCCATTCATAAACTTTTGCATGGTTAGAAAAAATTAAACATTTAATAACTACAGAAAAAGTCTATTAGGCGAATCTTTTGAACTTTGGAGATATATATAAATATCAAATTATTCACTTAATCACTAATATTCGACGTGTCACATTCCGGTGGATTCCCTTAAAATCGGACCAAATAAAAGGCCATGTACTCGAATTCCCACGTGTCACCTGTTCTAAATATTCCACGTGCAAGGCTTCTAAATAATTTTTTACAATTTCAATTACGGTGTATAAATATATATATATAGTTATAACTTGTCACAAACTTTTTTTTTTTAATATGTTTTTGATACTTGATTATATATCATTCGATATTAAGTTCATAAGAGTTTTTTTTTTTTTTTTTACAGAGATACTATGGGAGGGTTTTTCCTCGCCAATTACGAGGAGAGCCCTTTTGGTGCGTTCGACGAGGTGTGTATATTTACTGCATTCGTACCATTTTTATTACGATCAATGTATATATATCCTCATAATTTATTTATCAAACCACCCTAAAAGCTGAGGGTTATGTGCTAATTAATATTAATGGTACGAAAGTCTTTTTTAGTAACTCAAAATGACAAAGGGGGAGTTTTCTTTGATGGTGAGTATGATGTTGGTTGATTTTTTGATTTGCTATTAATTTTTACAGTTGGTGATAATTGCTGCTATAGTTAAGTCGGATCGATCATCTCGCGCGTAAGATTTAAATTTAGCAGCTCATATATTTAATATATTATATATATTTTTTTAAATATCCAAAAGAAATTGTTGGTTTGTGAATAGATGGGCTGCGAAAGTTCTTGTCAACAGCGATGAAGCTCGCGACCACGGACGAAAGGTAATTATATTAATTGGTTAAATTTACTTGGTACCTTCAATATTACTGAAGTAATAAAGATGATTGCGTACATGGTGCCGAATATACAATCTAAAAAACATTAAAACCTAAGTTCATTCGGTTTTAATCGAGGTCGTGTGTTCGACATTGCCTTCATGCATGACTGTTAATATCTGCCTGTGATTTATTTCGATTTATACTCTTCTTGATTCAAATTGTTTAATAAATGCAACGTTCTAAAAATTGTTCGAGTTCAAATCATACGATTTTCGATTTGATCCATGTGTCATTTTATTTTTACGATTTAACAAATATGATCATATGTATATGCACTATACTTCAATATTATTTTGTTCAATGATTATTTGTTGTTTTATTTTAGTTATGTGGTGATATAAACATAATGGTATTTTCAAAATTCCTTATATTTTATTTTTTTTATTTTTTAATTTTATTTTTCTTTTTATATACCAGGTATTCGGACTTCCTAGTCAAGTTGCCAATTTTATAAAGGTATGCGAGGCTATATATATTTTTGAAATTGTGTGTTGATGTATAAGTACAACGATTATACAAACTCTTACACCATAAGATTTTATAATTTATATTTATTTCTATTTTATTCCTAAAAAAAAATAAAAAAAAAGAATACTTTATAATTGTAATATAATTTTAATTGTTTTATAAAGTGTTAGTATAATAGTGGCACACGGTGTATGTTGAAGCAGAAGAGTAAAGTAATATCCCCACAATCAAAAGCAGAAGGCTTGTTCAATATAAATGGCTTAGGCTTTTCCTTGTAAAAAGTATTCTAGTTATCACAAGTAAACCTGATTTGCCAAGAAATTAAATAATGGAGCTTCAGATTCCAGATGATATAATAAATAAATAAATTGCTAAGAAAGAGAGATGTGTTTCAATCAGTTGGGTGCTGAAAATAATTAACATACAAAAAGGCGGCCTCCCGTTTCGACGACAGATCGAATTGCCGAACTAATGGTTATAGCTAAGTGAGTTTACCCTCTTATTTTCAAGTTCTTTTATTTAGCTTTAAATCCAATTCATATGGTAAAAAGACTAGTCGTAATGGAGTATTCGGTTCGTTAGATAATATTCTCAACCTCGGTTGGTTTGTCGGGATTGGGGGCGGAGGGGGGGGAGTAAGGCTTAGAACCGACAGACGGGTTTAATTTCGCTTGGGCACAATTGCTATAGTGAGTGATTAATGTGAAACATTTTACCGTAAAGGTTTTTTTTTTTCGTCCCCATTTATTTAGAGATGCCTACGAAGAGTAATATAATGTGCAAGGCTTTAGTAGCGCATGATTCCTTCGTCTTTGGTGTTTATATTATGCTGCCAACAATATTCTTTTTAATTGTCTTATGATCAGTTGGCAGCGTTCTACGGAAAACGTCAGCCAGTGATGCAGTTCGAATGCTATATTTTAATGATTAATACAAAAATTTTATTTCAACTTGGCAACTTGTATATGGACTCGGCAAACTGTGTTCGGGTTGTTAGAGTTTTTCTTTTTTAAAATAAATAAATGCTTTAATCTTTTTGATATATTATAAAGTTACGATTATTCAAATCCAACTTGCTCTAATTGCATGGAGTTTCTTTATGTCTTAAGAATCCGATAGTGCCATGTGCATGGATTCCTTCATTTCTTTTTTAAGACTTTTACCACAGAATCTTGGGATTCGCAAAACTAATCAAACTATACTGCACAAAGAAATAAAAATCGGTTTTTGCAGTTCAATCCTAGAATGGTTTAGTTTTTTAGTCGATAATGTTCGTGGGTTTTTTTTTCTTTTTTTTTTTCAGGTGTTAACTATGCCGATGAAGCTCGTATAGTTTGATTTTAGCACAAGTTGTTTCTGGTGTTTTCGTCAAACAATGGAAACTGCAGAAGCGAACTCTTTGTTAGGATACGGAAAATCTCCATGGGTGTTCAAAGGCAGGCAAGTTTGCTATCTCGTTTTTCGAATAATACATTTGTTTATTTAATGTAAGAAAATTATTTATGTTAAAAAAAAGAAGTACGTTCTTGAAATTTCAGTGCCTTGTACCAGCTGCATCTCGTCAAGGCAGAGACAGCTCGAGCTTTTATTCCGCCGTACGTATTTACTACATGGGCATGATCGCAAAGAGTATACAGAATCGTACTCTGTTTGAGAAAAGGCTTTCATATTTAATATTCACATTTGATTTGATAGATTTGTTTCACACAAATTTTATCCGTAAGCAGAAATATACATAGACATAACATTGATTAATATTGATCTTAACGTATTTAGACCGTCTGTTAATATTGTTGTCCCACAGATGGGCTGCAAGAGTTCTGGTGAACAGTGACAAGGCATGCGTCCATGGTCGAAAGGTAGCGTTTTTTAATGCACGCGATTAAGTATTCATTATATATGCCGTCATTTGTAATTGAGTTTGTGCTTAGGATTTCGTTTCGATTTATGTCCTAGTTGAATTAACTTCAAGAATCTATAAATAAAAAATTTAAAGAAATAACAGCATTACTATTCTAATGCGGTTTTGCAGGATGTTGGACTTCCGAGTCAAGTTGCAAATTTTACGAAGGTGAGCTCTCAAATTTTATATGTTCCCTCCAAATGCAGAGTAATCAAATGTTAATTCCCCGTTTTTTTTTTTTTTTTTTTTCCTGTTATCTATAAATTTAGTTAAATTTTGTGCTGTAGAATATCTAATAAGAATCTTTTTTTTTTTTTGTGTCGAACATGATACGGTTTGGTTTGCGTTAAACTAGAGTGTTACAGCACTTCCTGCGACAAAGAGAAATCGATTCGGTGGGTTTATGAACAAGATTGGCTTGGCTCATAATAATAATAATAGCACGAAGAAAGAGATGAACAGTCATACGGCAACTGGCATTTGCACTATCAACCTTCCTCCTGCTGGTAGGTAGGCTATATATATATATATATATATATATATATATATATATATGATCAGCTCTATGTTGTTGTTTTCTTGTCTCGTCTTTGTGTTTGTTTTGCATTATACTTATGTTTAATTTAACCTCGACAAAGCACTGGCAGCACCTCAAAACGACGCAAAACGATGGATCGGCCCTGCAATCAAAATGTCCCTCCCAAGCTTTAGGTATTTTACATTTTTTTTTCTATTTTTTAATTTTTTAATTTTTAATTTTTTTTCCTTCGAAGAATTTAGCATTTCCAAGTTATGATGCAGAATTAACCGTATTTGCGTATCTGATATGCAGCGGCCGCACTGAATATAACCCTAACCTCCTAAAGTACTCTTGCCAGATCGAATGCAGGTTTACTTTCCTATTATTATTATTATTATTATTCGTACCGTGGTTTAATCAATTTGATCATGATCTATATTATTGGTTCGTTAAAATTTAACATTTGCATGTTCGAAATTCCACTAGTGCTTAACGCATAAACAATTAATTCCGGTCAATATGCCCTGAAAATCCCATTTTTAAGGCCCCGTGCAACAAAAAACGTAGTTCAGGTAAAACCGTGCTAAAAAAAATTGTTTGGGGGGCAAAGTGCAAAACGGGCTATAGTTTAGGGGGCAAACTGCTTTTTACTCAATACTATATATAATCATACACTGCAGGTGACAAGAAATTAAATCTCTCAGGCAGGCCACCTCCTAATTGGTCCAACTAATTATCCTACTAATTTATCCTAATATCACCAAACCAAAACATCAAACATAAAAGATGAATATGACTTTTTCCCAAAAGAATCTCCCATTTCTCTTCAATCAACGTGTCCTAATTCCCATCACTACTCAAACTGCCTAACTCCTTAGTAATTTTACCATGTTTCCCATTAAATGCTGTACAATTTTTTTGAAAGGCAATGTACTTAATTTCCACATTGTGTGTGTGTGTGTACTTCAAATAGGCGCCAAAGTCCTCTACATATTAAATATATATATATATATATATATATATATATATATATATATATATATATATATATATATATATATATGTAGCCACTAGTCCTTTTCGATTTAGTTATTTATATATATGTGTAAGTACTCTGATCTCTTCTTTCGATTCATTCGGTGCACTTCGTTTTTCTTCAATGGACGTTGCGATGGTAACTTCAGGATTCGAGAAGCCCCCGGGAT